GCTAACCAGGAGTTAACAGTAGCTAAAGGCTAGCCAAGAGCTAACAGTAGCTAAAGGCTAACCAGGAGCTAAGAGTAACTAAAGGCTAACCAGGAGCTAACAGTAGCTAAAGGCTAACCAGGAGCTAAGAGTAACTAAAGGCTAACCAGGAGCTAACAGTAGCTAAAGGCTAACCAGGAGCTAACAGTAGCTAAAGGATAACCAGGAGCTAACAGTAGCTAAAGGCTAACCAGGAGCTAACAGTAGCTAAAGGCTAACCAGGAGCTAACAGTAGCTAAAGGGTGTGTGGTACTTCAGTTCTGGGTCTCCAGGAGGTGAAGCAGAAGTGACAGAATCCTGATGTGTAACAGGTGTTGGAGCGAGGACCACCGTACCCTCAGGTCATCCTGCCTCAGTTCGGAGGTTACTGGATTGAGGACCCTGAGGCTCCGCCCACCTCTAAGGTGAGCAACAGTGAGGAAAAGGAGGGAGGAGAAACTCCTCCAGGGGATTGTGGGTACCAGCTGGAGGCAATAAATGAGGCTGCGCGGGCGTACAGGAAACACTTCCTGGGCAGGGTGAGGCTTGTGTTTGTTTGTTTGTTTGTTTATTCAGGTGTAACAGTGTTTATTGCTCACCTGTAACCTGCTTCTGTCTCTCAGGAACATCTGAACTTCTTCTGCTCTGCTGGCAGTTTGGGAAACCTTCTGCTCTCTGTGAGACACGAAGAGGAAAATGATCAGGAGTACCTCCATGTTGTCGTCAGGTAAATATAAACACAAACAACAGGTGAGCCTTACCTGTTTGTTACCTGCCACACCCTCAGCTGCAGTCTACCTGATGAGCAGCAGGTGGCGACACCTGCAGCTGCTAAACAAAGTAAAGAAATAAAAACATGAAGTCACTTTAGCTTCTGATCCGTCCGAATGTTTTACAAACTTTTCATCAGATGGAGGCAGCAAACAGGTCCCAGTTTGGACTGGTCCTGTTCCTGGTCCAGGTTTAGGTCTGTGTCTTGTCTTTCAGGTGTCAGATGAAAAGTGTTTATGACAGATTACCTCTGGTGGAGCTGACAGACATCCCGAGCGTACCTGAACTGGCCAAGGTGAACATCTTATTAGAGCTCATCCTAAAACTGTGTGAAATAAATAAAAACAGATGTTTAACCTGGATGTTGTTTCTGCTGAAGCTGCTGTGTGATGAACCCGCCTCGCTCCGCTTCACTCCGGTTCTTTACCCAAAGGTGAGATCCTTAAACACACCTGAGCTTTAGTCCTGCTGGAACCTCCTTCGGCTGATTTCAGCTGTTCCTCTGTCTGAAGGCCTCTCAGCTGATACTTAACTACGATGAACACGAGCTGAACAACACCTTCAAGTTTGGAGTCGTCTACCAAAGATTAGGACAGGTGCGCACAGACTCACCTGAACCCTGGCTTCATAGTTTCTATCTGAGGCAGACTCCATCAGTCTGACAGGTGTCTGATGGAGTCTGCCTCACCTGTCTGTCAGGTGTCGGAGGAGCAGCTGTTCTCAAACAACGAGGAGACTCCGGCCTTCACTGAGTTCCTGCAGCTTCTGGGAGACACTGTGGATCTGAAGGACTTCAAGGGGTGAACATCACACAAACAACAACAACATAAACAAAAACACAAACTACAATATAAACAACAAAGATAAAAAGTTAGAGTCAGCTACGTGAAAGTTTTCTTCTTATATTTGATCTGTTTTGTTCCAGAGTTAAATATTTATTCAGTTGATAAGATAAGAACCCTATCTCTAAGGGAGAGTCCAGCCACCCTGCAGAGGAAACTCATTTCAGCTGCTTGGATCTGTGATCTCCTTCTTTCAGTCACTACCCAAAGCTCCTGACCATAGATGAGGGTAGGAACGTAGACCGATCGGTAAACCTTCACCACTACAGACCGGTACAACGCCCGCAGCACCAATCCACCTGTTGATCTCCTGCTCCATTCTTCCCTCATTCATGAACAAGACCCTGAGATACTTAAACTCCTCCACTTGGGGCAGGACCTCCTCCCTGACCCGGACAAAAACACCCTACCCTTTCTGGCTCAAGACCATGGTCTGGGATTTGGAGGCACTGATCCTCATCCCATCTGTGAACCGCTCCAATGAGAGCTGGAGATCAGGATCTGATGAAGCCAATAGGACCACATCATCCACAAAAAGCAGAGATGTGATCCTAAGGTCACCAAAAAGGATCCCCTCAACACCTTGGCTGCTCCTAGAAATTCTGTCCAGAAAAGTTATGAACAGAATCGGTGACAAAGGGTAACCTTGGTGGAGTCCAACTCTCACCGGAAACAAGTCGGACTTATTACCAGCAATGTGGACCAAGCTCTGGCACCGGTCCTACAGGGACCCAACAGCCCATATCAATGGGCCTGGTACACCATACTCCCAGAGTAACCCCCACAGGAGTCCCCGAGGGACACAGTCGAACGCCTTCTCCAAGTCCACAAAACACATGCAGACTGGTTGAACTCCCATGAACCCTCCAGGACCATACTGAGGGTGTAGAGCTGGTCCGCTGTTCCACAACCAGGACGAAAACCACACTGCTCTTCCTGAATCCAAGATTCGACTATCCGACGGACCCTCCTCTCCAGGACCCCTGAATAGACCTTACCAGGGAGGCTCAGAAGTGTGATCCCCCTATAGTTGGAACACACTCTATGGTCCYCGTTTTCAAATAGGGGGACCACCACCTTGATTAGGTTAGATCAGATGAAACGACAACAAAGTCGATCATCGAACTGCGGCCTAGGGTGTCCTGGTGTCAAGAGCACAAATGGACACCCTTATGTTTGAACATGGTGTTTGTTATAGACAATCCATGATGAGCACAGAAGTCCAATAACAAAACACCGCTCAGGTTCAGATCGGGGGGCCGTTCCTCCCAACCACGCCTCTCCAGGTCTCACTGTCATTACCTACATGAGCGTTGAAGTCCCCCAGCAGAACGAGGGAGTCCCTGTTAGGAGCGCTCTCCAGCACCCCTCCAAGGACTCCAAGAAGGGTGGGTAATTTGAGCTGCTGTTAGGCTCATAGGCACAAACAACAGTCAGGACCCGTCCCCCCACCCGTAGCTGGACGGAGGCTACCCTCTCATTCATCGAGGTGAACCCCAACGTACAGGCACTAAGATGGGGGGCAATAAGTATGCCCACTCCTGCTCGGTGTCTCTCAGCATGGGCAACTCCAGAAGGAGGTGTGTCGAGGTGAGTCCGACTATATCCAGTTGGAACCTCTCAACCTCACACACCAGCCCAGCCTCCTTCGTTTTAGGAGGGCAGGAAGTCCCAGTTTGTCCACAAACCAGGAAGAGGAATAATTTAAAAAAACTTCAACTGGTCTCTGCTGGTCTCTGTAGGTTCCGGGGCGGTCTGGATGTGTGTCACGGTCAGACGGGTGCTCAGTCCATCTATACAGTCCATAGAGGACAGGAGGTCATGTTCCACGTGTCCACCAAACTGCCCTTCACTGAAGGAGACACACAGCAGGTAGACAGCATGACTCAGCAAGTTACAGTGGTTTAATTAGTTTGTTTATTATTACGTTCTGGTCAGGAAAACCACTGAGTTTGTTTTTGTTGTCTCTGTGTCGAGAGTCACACTGATGCTGTAAAGTGATGAGTCATGATGACCGGACGCTGCATGATGTCACATGACCTGACATAAGTGCTGATGTCATGATGTAATGGTTTGAAGACTTGTGATGATGATGTCACTCAGCTGCAGAGGAAACGACACATAGGAAATGACATCGTCACCGTGGTGTTCCAAGAACAGGCCACGCCCTTCGTCCCTGACATGATAGCCTCCAACTTCCTGCACGCCTTTGTCCTGGTGCAGGTGGAGGAGCCCTGCTCGGACCACACCTGCTATAAGGTACTGGTACTGACTGCTGCATGCCAACAGAACTTTAGGACGTTATAAACCAGTTCACTTCCTGTTTACAAAACTAAAAACATTGAAGTCAAACCTTTGATTGACAGGTGTCAGTCACAGCCAGAGAAGATGTCCCACCGTTCGGCCCACCCCTCCCGAACCCAGCCGTCTTTCAGAAGGTGAGCCTGCAGTTTTTCACCAGGTGACAACCTTCAGGTGTTCTGAAGGTAAACTGATGTTTTTATTTTCAGGGTCCGGACTTCAGAGACTTCCTGCTGACTAAACTCATCAACGCCGAGCTGGCGAGCTACAAGAGCGAACGCTTCGCTCGCCTGGAGGTAAACGCACCAGCAGGGGGCGACACACACAGAAACCAAGCTCAGCTTTTCTGCTCTTTGGACCCGTTTCAGGAGCGGACCCGGGCCGCCCTGCTGGACGGACTCCTGGACGAGCTGCAGAGACGCTCCCAAAGCATGCTGGGATTGAGCTCAGGTGAGGAGGAGGAGGAGCGAGGGGAGAACGGCCACGCCCACGGAGGGCTGCTGGAGTCCATCAAGGTCCGGTTCCGTTTGAATGTTAGAATCAATAAAACTTAGAAAAATGTTTTTAGTTCAGGATTTTCTACTTTATTTTTAAAATAATCCATGTGGAGCTTCTAACTTCCTGTTTTTATGTCAGAGAGCAATGAAAGGGCGGAGCGTCTCCATGGAAACAATGTCACGGGGCGGGGCAGGACTGCCCACCAGTCTGAGTGGGGGCGGTCTGGCACACCTGAGCGTCGAGGTGAGCATATTCAATCACATTTAAATGAGTTACTGCGACTCAGCAGATTTTATCCAGCAGTTACTGTGACTCAGCAGATTTTATCAAAGGTTACTGCGACTCAGCAGTTTTAATAAGACAGTTACTGTGACTCAGCAGATTTTATCAAAGGTNCAGTTACTGTGACTCAGCAGATTTTATCAAAGGTTACTGCGACTCAGCAGTTTTAATAAGACAGTTACTGTGACTCAGCAGATTTTATCAAAGGTTACTGTGACTCAGCAGATTTTAATCAAGTGGTCCTGTGATTCAGCAGATTCTATCAAACAGTTACKGCGACTCAGCAGATTTTATCCAGCACTTACTCTGACTCAGCAGACTTTATCCAGCATTTACTCTGACTCATCAGATTTTATCAAAGGTTACTGTGACTCAACAGATTTTATCAAAGGTTACTGTGACTCAGCAGTTTTAATAAGACAGTTACTGTGACATCAGATTTTATCAAAGGTTACTGTGACTCAGCAGTTTTAATAAGACAGTTACTGTGACATCAGATTTTATCAAAGGTTACTGCGACTCAGCAGATTTTAATCAAGTGGTTACTGTGATTCAGCAGATTCTATCAAACAGTTACTGCGACTCAGCAGATTTTACACCGCAGTTACTGTGACTCAGCAGATTTTATCCAGCTGTTACCCTGACTCAGCAGATTTTATCCAGCATTTACTCTGACTCATCAGATTTTATCAAAGGTTACTGTGACTCAGCAGATTTTAATCAAGTGTTTACTGTGATTCAGCAGATTCTATCAAAAAATTACTGTAACTCAGCAGATTTTATCCAGCATTTACTCTGACTCATCAGATTTTATCAAAGGTTACTGTGACTCAGCAGATTTTAATCAAGTGTTTACTGTGATTCAGCAGATTCTATCAAAAAGTTACTGTGACTCAACAGATTTTATCAAAGGTTACTGTGACTCAGCAGATTTTAATCAAGTGTTTACTGTGATTCAGCAGATTCTATCAAAAAGTTACTGTGACTCAGCAGATTTTATCCAGCATTTACTCTGACTCAGCAGATTTTATCCAGCGGTTACCCTGACTAAGCAGATTTTATCAAATGGTTACTGTGACTCATCAGATTTTATACAGCTGTTAATAGATTGTTGTTCTGTGTTTCCTTTGTTAGACTAATGTAAAATCACCGGTGAAGAGACGGTCGGTTCTTTTCCCTCGACTGCTGAGCATCGACAGCCAGACGGACAAACACCGAAGGTATGGTTCTCAGGAGGTATCTGATTGGTTCTCAGGAGGTATCTGATTGTATCTGATTGGTTCTCAGGAGGTATCTGATTGGTTCTCAGGATGTATCTGATTGGTTCTCAGGAGGTATCTGATTGGTTCTCAGGAGGTATCTGATTGTATCTGATTGGTTCTCAGGAGGTATCTGATTGTATCTGATTGGTTCTCAGGAGGTATCTGATTGGTTCTCAGGAGGTATCTGATTGGTTTTGAAGAACCTTGACATTCTTTCTGTTGGTCAGAACTAAATGTTTTTATAAATCAGCTGATTTGATAAACATCCTGAATGTTTCAGTCTCAGCGAGCAGCGCAGCTTGGACGGCTGCCACCCGACACTGGAGGTGAGGTCAGAACTGTCGTCCAATCCCAGCTCTCCGGAGGCGGGGCTACGAGGCAGGTGAGCTTATTCCTGTTCTGTCTCAGACTGAGAGGAAACAGGCAGCACAACTGTTTGTTTACATGTTTGTTTGTTTGTTTGTTTGTAGGGTTCACGTGAAGAAGGAGAGCAGTAAGATTTCCAGGTCGACCTCCAGCACCTGCAGCTTCAGCCTCCCTGCTGACGACACTCAGCTGGTGAGACAAACAAACAACAACAAGCGTCTTGTTTGTTTTTAGGGTGGATGAATCAGGCTGTAGTGAGCAGTCTGACCTGGTGGGGGTGCTGTTGAGTCATTACAGTTGTTTCAGACTTGTTTCCTCTCTGGTCCTCAGGCTGCAGCGGCGGCGGACAGCCAGCCTTCCTCTCCACTCATCATGTCCCGCAGCCCCACAGGTTCATCCTCCTCACCTTCATCACCTTCCTCATCACATCCTCCTCCTCCTCTGTCTGATCGATGCTTTTCTTCCTGCTGCAGAGCTGAAGAACAGAAACTCTCCCAGATCCAACCTGAAGTTCCGCTTCGACAGACTGAGCCACTCGTCTGCAGTGAGTCTAAATTATTTACAGGCTTTTATCAGTTTAGGTTTGTTTGTTTGTTTGTTTTGAATTGTTGCACAGTTGTTTATCATGTTTGTCTTCACTGTGCTGTTAAAAAAGAGATATTTTACTAACAGACTGAGCAGCAGGTAGCTCCATGTTCTCCTGCCCTCTAAATGTTTCTGCTTCCTGTTTGTCAGCAGGGAAACTGAAGCTGACGACTCCTGAAGGTTTGTTTCACTCTGCTTTGCCTTTGTTGTTTGTTTGTTTGTTTTTGTTTGTGTTGTTGTCTCACCTTTAATTCTTTTCTGCTTTTTAGGAAATGATTCATGAGGATCATCTGTCAGAAAACCACAGAAGACAAAAGTCTGCACACACTGATGGACTCACACACACACACACACACACACACACACAC